TGAGGCCATATGTACTCGTAAGATGGAATTGGTTATAAAAAATAATGATGCCATCGTGTCTTGTACCATAAATGGAGACTTTCAGATCGGATTTTCATTTCATTTAAACCTTGCACATCGAATTTCCCAAATATGGGATTCGGGTTCCATTCAATTAATCCTTTGTTCAAGCGGTCAAGTGACGAGATATGGCTTGAATAGTCCAAGAATTGTGTATTCCACGTGCCCAGGAAGTGGTGATATTGTAGAGATGAAATTGTGTTCATATAAATACCGTTAAATTTCATCGAAATTTGGTCCACCTAGCTTTCGTTTTTTATTTGGTTGATCATTTAATTCACAATGTTAGATAGAAATTATATTTTTAATTTGGTTTGATTTTTTTTTTTTTTTGAAAACAAGCACGTTTTATTTATTTTAAAAAAAGAAATCCAAATTAATATTACAAATATATAATACACATCGTAACGAAAAATCAAACTATGCATCATGACCGTAAGATAAATACATGAAATAAAACTATTTATGATGTAAGTTACAATTTGCGTCATATGTTACAACTCTGAAATTTGAAGGAAAGTTTCACTTTTATAATTGTTTTTCACTTATTGTATACATATTCTATATAACCATTAGACCTAACATATCGCTTTTATTCAGCACGTCCTGTCTTAATCTAAAAATGAAGATAGTAACGTTTTAGTAGTTTTTATAGCTTTGATTTGAGTTTGACATTATTGTCTAAAAGTGGGATATATATTTGGGTTTGGATTATTACCCAAATAAGGTAGAATCTCGATTCCAAAACTCAAATTATATAGTAATGTCATAGTTCAAGAAAAAGGTTTGGTCGTCAACCCTAACGCTTATCATATTGTCTACTAAGTCTCTTTGAAGACGAAGAAGAGTGTCGACTATGTTGTCTTATAGGCGAACTCGGTATGGAATATTGTGAGGATTGACGTTTTTTATGAGTTTTTGGTGGTGGAGATTTAGGAAGCTTCGGAAGTCCAGCAAGTTCACGAAAGAAATTTACTTGACTTAGAATTAGCTTCCATAAGATCCACCAGGCTGTTAGATCAAAAGAAGTTTAAAAAGATTAAAAAAGAATATTAAAAATAAATAACCTCAGATCAGTGGTGTATTGATTTGTAAACAAGTTTTAAAAATTATAGAAAATTCCTTCTAATCTAAAATAACTAATCTTACCAGTATCTTACCTAGTAAAATGAGTAATATAACAGACACTATTGATATCACTACTTTTAAAAAATCAATAATATATGCACTCAACATTATTTTGTTATCTTTGGTGAAATGTTAGTAAAAAATTGGGAGAAAGAAGCGTGGTAAAGGTTTACAAATGGGCAGTCACGCGAAATCATCGCTATAATGTCGATATGGTGACACAATAGGGTGGAGATAAATTTCCGGAGATCGAAAAACATTGGCACGCACTTTGTATTATTTGGAGTCCTGCTGACTGTCAATATGAGTCAAGAATAATTTTATACAAGAAATATATATAGAAATATATGAATGAATGAATGAAGGCTATATAGATTTTGGAACAGAATTTTATTTTTTTAAATCCGAATTTTTTAGTGTCGAATTGTTAAATCGAAATCCGGATTTATATTAACAATCACTTTTATTGGTCAAATTCAAAAAATAACGATAATAAAGTAAATGCCAAATTAAATAGCATCATGATACCGTGATATGTGCGTACATCGTACGTTCTGCGACGAAAAGCATTTAAGCAAAAGCTATTTTATCTTATTTTCTGCAGTTGTGTTACAGTGTAAAATTCAATACATACGTAGGTACGTATAATTGATAATGGCCCTATTCAAAGCTGATCCTACGATTTAGGGTGTTTCTTATTATGGCTAGATAGTGGTCACGGGTATATGTAGATCTCTAAAAATAGAACAATATATCTGATATGTGATTTTCCTTTTATCACTATATAATACGTTTTTGGGTAGTTCTATTTTGCAGAAATAAATTTAATTTTACGTTAGGATGGTACGGGTAACTATTAAATTATAAGGTCGCTAAAAGGAAATAGTGTAAACCTAGAGCCAATAAATCTTCGTTAGATCAATATTAAAGTATTGGTTTTTTATATTTTGTCAAGACAAGTAATAAAGGATATTTGTGATTTATAATGAAAAATCCCTCTTAACGATCTAAACCTGTTTAATTAATCTATTTTTCAATGTTTTGCAAACTCAGTTATCTTATAATTCTCAATTTAATCGTTCGATCAGAGAAAGAATTATTCCACTACACACCAGAGTTAAAGAACTTCACGAAAAAGCTCATATCAATTATGATCGCATAGCTATTAAATAGAATCCTTCGTTCACTAAATTTATAATGCTTTGAAATATGAGGATGGATCCTATCACTTCATCCGGTGCTTTGGAACCACTTCTGGTATATGCTGATCTGAAGCATGTTATCTAATATTAAATACATGAACTATCGCTATTTATTAAGTACATGAAAAAATAACAAGCTTTTAAGCAAAGACTTGCACAAATAGAAATGATTGCTGGTCTGTATAACTATTTTGGCACTATGTGGTTCGACATTTGCCTTTATAGCAGCATTTAGTTCGTTGAACCTTTCAGGATGATTATGTTTGTAATGTGACTTAATTGTAGAGAGACCCGTTTCCATTGAATAGGAAGTATGACAATGCTTGTAATGTCATTTGTCACCAGTTTCAGTAAGTTCGTCCTAGAAGGGATCCTTCTTCAATCGCTTTGGAGATTTGGAGGATGGTTTGAGTATGTTAGATTCAAGTTCAACTTGAGACGTCGAACTTGAAGAGAAAGTAAACTCAATTGTATTCGAATTTCGTGTATAGTTGTTTCATTCATCGCATAAAGTTCGAATTGTTCAGGTATGGTTTTTCATTTATTGCACAAGGTTCAAATAAATAAAATAAAATAAAATAAATAAAAAATAAAAAATAAATTCTTTTTACATATTTATATAAAAAAAAAAAAAAAAAAAAAAAAAAAAAAAAAAAAAAATTTAAAAAAAAAAAATTCTAAAGTCCAATTTTCGTCATCGCTAGAAATTAACTTTTCATTAAATGAGTCATATAATTCTATCATATCATGTTACAGTAATAAATTTTTAATAAAAAAAAAAAAAGTTAATTACAAATCAAGAAGCTTTTTTGCTTGTCAAATCGATTTCAGACTCAAGTTTGAAATATGATAATTAAAATCATGTGACTACAAAAACTAGAGTTTAATAGGTTTGGGTTTCAAGCAGGGGCCGAACCGAGTTTGGATGAATAGGATAACATCCTAGTCTTCTGGGTGAGTCATTTAGATTAGAATCCATCTTTTGATAAGTTAATTTACGATTATTTAATGTTATAGGGTTGTAACATACATTACATTTTAAATAACGATAAAATTTAAACTTACTGTTATATACGTTTGTCAATTTTTATTTGATGATTATTTGATAATGATGTCTAACACTTCAGAAAATTTTATTGTTAGACTCACTATACTTATGTTTCATTTCTAATTCATTTAGTCTCATTTCTAATTCCTTTAATTTTAATTCAAAATCAATTTTCATTTGTCTTTCTAAATCTAATTTTTCATTTTCAACCTTAATTCGAGCTTCAACTTCCTTTTTTTTCAGTTCATATTCTAATTCTCTAAATTTTTTTTCAAAATTAAATTTTTCACGCTCAATTGTAGAATGTTCATCAATCCACTTCTTTCTGCTCTCAGCTGATATTTTCTTACTTTCGCTAATAGTTTCTACGGACTTGATATATGATAAATCATCTTCATTCAATTTTTTTTTTTTTTTCCGTTGAACCATCTCCTCGTCATTAATGTTAGCGCCGTAATGCTAAGTTTTTAATAGAAATTTATATATGCATAAGTATTTGTTATACGTATAAATAAAACAAACTAAAATTTCAATATATAGATTATGCACGTATATATATACATATATTACATATAAATATATATATTTGACCGATTTAATAATATTATAAATAGATAAATACTTTTCCAGTACTGTCAATTAAACATTCGGGATGAACATTTTCGCGATTACCAAAAATCTCATTCATTAAAAAGTAATAGGGCCATTTTGAAGCTTCTTTGCCTGTTTTTTCTTTACTTTCTTCAGAATATTTTTTAACTAATTTTTGCAGTTTTCCACGGACCTGTGCACTTGACTTGCCACCGATATGCAAAGCAGCACTTGCATAGAATTTTTCTTTATTTTTACGATAATTAGAAAAATTCTCAGACAAATAAGCAAGTAACAATTTAATAGTCGAATCAGCCCATAATTTATTATCAATATCATCATCTTCATTTAGTGGTCGTTTATTTTTTCCCTTGGTATTTTGAGATGTTGGAATATCTAATTCATCGCCAGATGAAATATATTCAAATGCAGGTAAAGTGGTACTAGACGAACTTGCTTGTTCTGTAGGCAAAGGGTTAGAAGGTAAATGATTGTACTGTGTAAATTTTTTTCTCGTTTCATCAGGATACGCAGTAAATGCGGGTACTGTTTGCATAATTTTCAATTGATCCATTTGGACACAATTTTAAAAATTTACGCGAATTAATAAATATTTATATAACTACCCGCTAATAATAAATAAAATTTTTGTATATTATAAATATTCTTTGGTCTTTATAAATATACGAGTCAATTGCCATGATTTTTATTATTGTAGGTAGAAAAAACGTCTATAAATTGTATTAGTATTTGATACTAAACAAAATTGGTTTATCCTATTATTTTACGATTAAGTATAGCGCAAGCTAGCACTTTAGATAAGAATATGTATATACTTTTACTATCTCGATGAAATCTGGCTATAAGTAGTTAATTTTCTATAAGTTGAGTAGTATGGAAATATCATTATCGTTATTAATATGTACATTGTATGATCTAGGAAGAGACTTATAACTCGTATAGAAGTATATCAATATTTATTTATTGTAAGAGAAACTCATTGTCGTAACAATTGAGTTAGTACCTGCATATCGGTAATAACTTTATAATCCTGTTGATTCAAGTTTCAGCATGATGAAACGAATAAAATTATTCGATAACCAATTTTAGAGAAAAAGAATTTTTACATTTATAGCAAACAGGTTTTTTTGGTTCTAATTTTGGAATTTTGGTAAAGATCTTGTGGTTTGAACAAGTTTTTTTAAAAATTACACTAACCACAACTCTAATTCCTGAACTACTTTTGAAATAAACTATCAGGAAATAAACTATCAATAAATGAAATAAACTATGTGAACTAAGTTGTTAGAAATGGGTCTTGTCGGAAAAAAGAAATATCAGATATTGGAATTATGTAGTTAGAGAAATAGCATTTCGGGAAGGTGGACTTCGGGAAAGTGAGCAACAATGTGTTTCAATCTAAGTGGATTCTAAATTTCTAATAATTCTATTCTACTTTACTAAAACTTGCGAAATTAAATAGTAGGTCGAAAAGCATCGGTACGACTGGTCATTTAGTTGGATGAATGCCGGCTAGCCAAAGGTGCCGGAAATAAATTCAAT